TTTGGGTTCAGTATGAACTAGGAAATGGAGAGATTGGTAAAGGATGGCAGTTTAAATTACAAGACTATTTTTCAGTTAAATCATTTCTGCTTAAAACATACAAGGTGAAGTGAAATCCCTATATTCAGGTTTTATGACCCTTTACCATAGGAAAAGCCCAGAAACTATGGTAGCCCCCAAGGAAGAGGCAATGCTTTAAACTCACCCAAATCATCTAAGGGAAAACCCAAGTGTGATCAAGTGCAAGAAGTCTGGGCACTGGGCACACAACTGCACCAAGCTACTGCCTATGCCCTGCTCGGAGTGTGAGGCAGCCAATGTGCATGACTTGTGGCACTCGAGGGTTGACTGTCCCTGCTCCCAGAGAGGGCCTCAGCCAGCCAAAACCCTTGTTTCCTCCTCTGAAAAGACCAAGGGAATCTACAAAGCCCTTGTCCATGGACATCAACATTTCTTGGTAACACTGGACATTATGAGTAAGCCAATTCAATACATTGTTTCAACTTCTCTGGAAAATCCTCCTCTAGATCTATAGCCATAGTTGGGGTCAAGGGGTTCTTTAGTAGATTCTTTTCTCCTGCTCTGATGTGCCATTTTGAAGGCCAGATGTTTACCCATCCATGGGTTTCTAATTGTCCCAGTGTCCTACTCCCTTGGTAGGGAGAGATTTACGAACAAAATTAGGAGAAATTTTCAAATTCTGGCAAAAGCTAAAATGGATTTTACATGTTGGGACTATCCCAGGTCTCCCTGACCTAATTAGGCAATGTTGAATGTACAATAAAATACCTGATTTAAGAAAACTCTTCTTAGGCCTGGGGATTTAGCTCAAATGGTTCCTCAGCCTGCCTTACAAGTGCAAAGTCCTGAGTTTGACCCCTAGTACCAGAAGAAAAAAAAAGTCTTCCTCTACATATCAGAAAAGAAAATAATTGCTTTGGATGTCTTGACCTAAAGGCTAGGACCAGAACTCCTCCCAGTGATATACTTTTCAAAAAGTTAGATGGAGTGACTGCTGGATGGCCACCTTGCCTGAAGGCAGTAGCAGCTATGGCTATACTAGTGGAGGAAGCTCTAAAATTAATTTAGGACAGACACTAGAAGTCCTGAATCCCCCATCAAGTCAAAGCGATTCTTGAGATCAAAAGTTACTTGTTAACAGGGGAACGGCTTGCCAAGTATCAGGCCATCTGTTTTTAATTAGATCCATTATGTGGGTAATCTTGCTAAGTCTATGGCTCTCACACTATCAATAATTTACCTAACCTCCCTCTTTGCCACACTTTGTCCTCCACAAGTGTGGAAATCTGACCTGCCTTGTATTTCAGTTCTATGTTCCCAAAATAATAGTAAAGTTACTTTCTTTTTCTCATTGAACAAACAGCTCCAGTCACTAAGTCTTTTCTCATTGCCAGGTTTTCTTTCTTCAACCCAGCCAGTGAGCCACAATACCTATTGTTGGAAAACACATATTCACCAGTAGGTAGAGTCTACAGTCTCCTGCAGCCAAAAGAAGCTACAGAAGACAGAGATCTCCACTCCCTCATCACACCATAAAGAATTACGAGGATATGTGTCTCTTCAGGTGAAATGAGACAAGAGATTAGGGTAAGAAAAGCTGTCTGGGGTAGTAGGTGTGACATGTTAATTATGAAATCCCAGGACACATGCACAGAACAGGTCCCGAAAGCCCTGCACATGGGCTTCTTAAAAGGACTTGGGCAGGTTTTCAATAGGATGGCCTAGACCTGACATCAGCCTAGGAAGTGGGTGATACAAAAAGGAGAGTCCACATTAAGCTTTTGTCACTATGCTCCCTCTTGCACAGAGAACAACCTTACACTACAGGGTGTACTTATTCTTTTCCTAATTTTACTTGGCTCTGGAAAGCCTGTTTCTTTTCCCATTTGCAATAAAACTTTGCTACCATTTGTTTTTGTCTTGACCAATTCCTTGCTCAGGGCAGAAAGAACCTAGAAACCATCTCTAGGAGATTCCAGCACCCCATAATCCAGTAACATATTCATTGAAAACATGATTTCCATTTTCTTCTGAGGCAATCAGATATAGTACTTACAAATGACTGTTGCCAAAAACAGTGACTCTTCGCTTGGGCCTAGAGATGCCCAATAGATAACTAAAGGCAGAAAAACCTTGATCTTCATTTTGTACCAGTCTCCTTTATCACCTTAAAACTTTGGGTCAAATCCCTCCCATGATTCTGTATTCAGGCATCTTAATCATTTAGAGACTGTCTATCTAGAAGGTGGCAAAAAGAAATTAGCCCTACATTTACCTAAATTACCAATCTCATCTCCCTTCAAGACTGAGAACAGGCAATGTAAAAGATTTAGGGATAACAACTACTAATGAGAACCTAAAAATCTTGTCATTGCCCTAAACCTATGGTCATCTTGGGAGTCCAGCAGAGCTTTCACAAAACTGAAATTGCCCCCAAGCAGAAATAACCATCTCAGGAAGATTGAATTGCCCAGAATGATCTTGCCAAACCAGAACTGAGAAAATAATCAACTGGATCCTGGCCCATCTCAGGTAATCCACAAAGGCTAGTTTTATTCTTTTGTTAATGGACCAGTGGGATCCTCTTCATCAGAGTTCTGTCCCCTTCAGCTCCTCAAACTGAAATCTCTTCCCTGTTTTACTTTCTGACCCTACCTACTAAATCTGTGTATGCTCGAAGTGGTATTTTCTGAAATTCTTTTCCTGTGAGGATGAGTCAATAACTACTCCATGGTGCAAAGTGAGGTCCTAATCTCCTCTTTGGGAGCAACCACGAGGCTCCAATGGTTAACTCGAAAATATACTGCCCAGTTTGCCTACTATCTTGTACAATCTTCATAATTCAAGCAAAATTGTTACTGAACAAGTAAAATAAGATGTAAATGGGATAAAGGTATATAAATGAACTGGACAATAATAGTTATGTAATATTTTTACTTAAAAAGTTTCCAAGATCTCATCATTTACCTTTAGAATTTTGCAACATTAAATGATAGATATTTATTGAATATCTAGCCCATTTCCAAATACAATAAAATACAACACTAATTGCTGAACCAAAGTTGATATTACTTTTGGCTTTCTTAAATGTTAAAGACAAAAATACAGAATCCACCAAAAAAAGTATATACACTTCATGAAAAAATAAAACTTGTATAAATATTTTAATACTAAATTTACCGAGAGATCATGAGATCAATAGAAGTTACCTTTGGCCTCTATAACAAGAGGTGCTCAAAGTGGTGACCATTAGCTTCCAAACATGTATTTGTATGGCAAACAGCTGCTTGGGTCACCTTGGTCATTGAGATGGCTACATATGCATTTTCATTTTTTCTCTATGGACTGGTAGTGTAGCAGAAGTAGCTAACAATTGGTTTACTGGCATTCCAAGTGGTGAATAGCAAGTCTGGTTTTTCCAAGGGTTTCTAACTTTTATGTTCTTCTAGTGAGTTTCCATGTTACTACAAATTGTGCTGAAAGGCTAATGACATAATTGGATATCTCTTTAGAGCAGACAATTCCACAATACTTAACCACCATCACAACCTGAACACAGACTATGACCAGCTGGACTTAAATACTGTTAAACTGTCTATATTGAATGAAGTTTGATTTTGTATGATTTTGATTCGTGCAGTTTATAGGAGCTCTCACTTCAAGCTTTTGGGATTATTCTGCTGACAGTCATCATAACAGTAACCCTGTTACGAGGTCGTATCCTCTGAAGTCTTAAATGTTCATACTCAGTCATTCATTGAGTATTAAAGTTGCACTTCAACTATATTAGCACAAACACAAAGAATTAAACAAGTGATGTGATATTGTGACTTGTGAATTCCATACGAAGAACAAATAAGTCTGTCTAATGTTGCCAAAGAATGGTGTTAATTCCCAAACTTTTAGTAAATCTCTCAAACTGAGAGGCTGAACTAAAGGGAGAAACTGTTGGATTAAACTAAATTTGGCCTTGGAAGCTTCTGTACTCAGGCTTTTCTGTAACTGCAACCTAGCTTAGGAATACACTCCTGCAACAAACACCTAAGTCTCAGATAATACAATAGATGAAGCCTATTCATGAAGTCTTTACTCAACCACAGGCTACCAAATGTTTAGACTGTATTCAAACAAAAATGCCAAAGTCTATTGCACAGGGCTATCTCTGTACCTCATTTCCATTTTCTGTCCAAAAATGCTTTTCAATCACACACAATATTGGGGTTCTCTAGTTCCTGTCCTGGCTCTGAGAACTGGCTGACTCTAGAATTACAAATAAAACACAATTAAGATCTGCAAAACTAGATCTGTTATAATGTTATTTTTTGTTTTAACAAGGGAATGACCTCTTTTACAATTATATTCAAAAAATTAAAGTTTAAAACATTATTAACTTCAGTTACTACAAATTAAGCCTCTGATCCTTAATTTCAGAATATGTATATTTTTTGGTACCAGGGATCGAACTTGGGACCTTGCGCTTGTGAGGCAGGTAGCAGAACCACTGAGCTAAATCCCCAGGCCAGAATCATATTTTTAAGGAATTAAAAAATCCGTTGATATTTTCTTAATATTAAAAAAGGCCACAAAATAGGTCCCAAAATGACAAAAAAAAAATCTTGCATCATTTTGGGTCCTGTTATTTTCAATGTGTATCTTTTTTTTTTTTTTTTAGTACCAGAGATAGAACTTGGAACCTTGTGCTTGCAAAGCAGGTGGCAGAACCACTAAGCTAAATCCCGGGCTCCTCAATGTATATCTTTTGATTAAATATCACGGTCACTGTACAAATACACTGGCTGCTCATATGAGAAAATCTGCATATGTCATTCTGTTAATAATGCCACTGGATTCTATTTTTAGCTTCTGGAGGCCAAGTCCTAAACATTACAAATGCTTCTGTTAGCATTTCTACATGTGTGTGTTCCTGCCTCTGGTAAGTGTGTGTTCTAATACTCGTGCTGTAACTGCTCTAAGATCTCTTTTCAAAACAAAAACAAACAAAAAAATTTATTAGACCATCCAAAAATTGAAAAGCCCAATGCTCTGTATTAGGCATTATCACTTACACATAACATTTTAACCATAAAAAACATTGAAAACGTTACATATTTAAATAATCTATACATCAGATTACTTCCTCAAATATGTCATCAGAACTCAGATAAATGTAATGAAAAATATGGTAAAGTATTAATTTAAATTTTACCTTAATTTTAAAATTGAAATAAGGCATAAGAAAAACCACAACATGTACATATGAAAACTGACCACTGAAAGATGCTAATTCATGTAAGATAGTATAAGATTTAATATATAAATTACATGTCATTTCATCAGCTGTTTCTTAGTCACATCAGACTAAATTTTATATTATGTATTAAAGTACTAAAAACCTAGAAAATCATTGCAATATAGATACAATATGGGAAAATATTTATTTGTGACTTTATACACAATCTAAATTAATTCATTCTTTACAATTATTTTCCAAATATAAATGGCACTTTACATGCAGTAGAACATACCACCTGGATGTCCTCATAAAGAGAAAAATACACTTTTAACAAGATAGTTAGAGGTGGAATGTAGAATAAGATTTTGCCTTAACACAATCTTGGATAAGAGTAAAGAAACATGAAAAAAGGACAGTTTATACTACTTTCAATTAGCAGTTTTAAAAAATGATGTCTGCAGTAGTTTTCTATTTTCTAATTATATCACAGAACATAAAAGGGAAAAGAGAAAAACAGAAAACCTGATCCTTTATGAATTTTAAACAGCAGCTCTGCCTATGGGTTGCATTTAGGCTACTTTTCTGTTGACAGTTTCCTGAATTGCTTCTGCCACTCTGAATTGTGCATCAGTAGTCAGATGAGTTTTCCAGGCTTCGTTACGCCATTGTGTAACCATAGCTGCCACAATGTAGTGCCACAAGAAGTCTGTCCTTTAGTATTTCTTTACTTGGGTATTCAGGTAACTTGAGCATGTTGATGCTTTAAAAAAAATATACACCATCATTAAAGAGAAAATCTATGAAATCTGATTGTTTTATCTAGCAATGAAAAAAATTACTCATAATTAACATAAAACTACTCTCTCAAATTTGCATTCAAATTGAAAGACCCTAAAGTAGTATTTAAAAAAAGGGAAAAAATGCTGCACTGCAGTTTCTTTCAGCATGCAAATGTAGTGGAAGAAAATAAGTTGCTTTCAGCTTAAAATAAGTAATAGGGCAATTTAGTTTGAAGCGATAGTGTAACTCAGTGAAACATCAATATAACTTTAGTAATTCTTGAACCATATTCATTAAATTCTAGGTAGTTGACATTTTCCCCAAATGTTTTCCCTACCAAAAAGGGGGAGGAGCAATCAATTTCCTATCAATCTGTGATTCCAAAACTCTGAATAAAGAACATGGTTGAGATTTTTGCTTCAATAAAGCAATAAAGTAGTTTGACCTTTGATCATTTAAAATTAACCCAAACAATTTACGATGCATTTAAATAAACTAACTTACCACGTGCTTGAAGTTGGTAAAAGATTTGGGGTATATGGCACAGCAGCAATTGTAAAGTTTTGCAATCCACTTCCACCCATGATATTAGCAAAACCACCATGGGGGACCCTGGAACTAAGAGTTTGTATTTTAATTTACAAGCATGAAAGGAAAACTCTTTGACAGATAAATTTCATGTTCTAAGTTAGGGTTAGAATATACTCAACTTGAACAATGACAAGATGACATTTTGGATTTTGCAAAACTCCTCACTCATTGCTGTATTTTGTGTTCTGACCAGCTTTCATGGAAGCTTTCATGGAAACACCCCTCAATACTGCCATCAGCCATATGATACTTTCCACTGGCCCAGTACTTCCTCTACTCATATTTAGAAGAATGCATTTATAATTATTTGCTTTCACATGCCTCCCTACTAAACTGGCCCTGATTTGATGGCCCAAACATGTCATATTTATCTCTATCCTTAGGGGTTAACAAAATGCCTTGTTTCTACAGACATTATTTGTTGAATAAATGAATGATTAATTCAAGCAACAAAAGCTCTTATATATTATATTCCAAATCATTTCTCTTGGTGAAAAATCTCAAGGCCTAAAATGCTTTCTGTTCTGCTTTGTCTTTCAAAGTGGGAAAATTGAAAATTATTTAATTTCTCTTTCCAGATATTCAGAATATCAAAAACACTTTTCTAAATGTCATGTAACATAACAGACCACAAGAAGACTAAAATGTAATGCCTAAAAAAAAAAAAAAAAAAAAAGGTAATGCCTAACACATCACTAAAAAATTTCACCTTGGGTATAGGGCTGTAGACAATGTAATTATGACTTATCATGCTCTATACATTTGGAAATAAATTAATACTTCAAATTAGTCTGTATGCATTAGGATTAAGAAAACTGATCCTGGGAAAAAAAAATTGTTGCCTTTAAAAAGAGACTCTGGGCTCCAGATGTAACTCAGTGGTGCAGTGCTTGCCTATCAGGTGCAAGGCCCTGGGCTCAATCCTCAGGACTGCAAAAAACAACAATAATAATAATAAAATAAAATGAGATTCTGTGGTGTTTTTGGATAAATCTGAATGATGACATGGGAATACTTAACGTCCAGGTATTAAATGCATAAAGAAACAAGTATGACTAGAAGTTAAAATGTTTCCTAGAACATAACACACAGTACAAAGTATAATTCAATCTACTTAAAAAAATGTTGAACCTCAAATAGTCAAAACATTATCTTCTAAAAGAATAACAAAAGTGGAGATTCACAAATTCTGATTTAATTTTTTAATTCACATAGCTCATTGAGTATCTTATTTATTTTAAATTAGTACATGTTTGTGGGACATAATGATTGCATTCATCACGGAGAGTTTGTATGTGTACACCACACATCTTAATTCTTTTTTTAATCCCTTTCTCCCCTCTGTCCCCCTCTCTCCAAAGTCTTGGCCCTCTTCCCTTTTGCAAAAGTTCTATTTCCCTGTTTTTAAACTGATTACATAAGTATAGTAATCAAAACAGTATAGTCTTGGCATAAAGACATGCAAACAAATGAAACAAATGAGAGCTCAAAAATGATCTCTTGCATCCATGGTTAAATTATATTGAAAAAGAATGCCAAGAACGGTTAATGGGAAAAGAGCAACCTATTCAACAAAGTGTGCTGGAAAAACTAGATTTGGGGTGGAGGGAGAGCAGTTGGGCCTTTACTTTCTGTATATACACAAATTAGCTTGAAGTAGATCAAATACCTAAACAAAGGAGCTAAAACTATAAAAAAATCTTACAAAATATATAGGAGAACAGCTTCAGGACACTGGATTTGGCAATGATTTCTTGGATATGACACTCAAAGTGTAGGCAACATATAGAAAGGAAAGTTGCACTTTATCAAAATTAAAAACTTATACATGAAAGGATACTATGAATAGAATGAAAAAGCAATCCATGGAATGGGAGAAAATACTTGCAAGTCACTGATCTGATAAGAGATTGACATCTAGAATATATAAAGAACAACAACAACAACAACAACACATTGATTGAAAAATGGGTAAAGGACTGGAAGAGACCTTTCTGCAAAGATACACAATGACCAATGAACACATGAAAAGATGCTTACCATCACTTGTCTGCAGGGAAATACAAACCCAAACCACAATAAAATACCACTTCACATTCATTAAGATGATTATTAGTATTAAAACTCCATGGACCGGGCATTTAGCTCAGTAGTTTCACCGCCTGCTGTGCAAGCGCAAGGACCCAAGTTTGATCCCCAGCACCAAAAAAAAAAAAAAAAAAAGCCTCCAGAAAATAAGAAGTATTAGCAAGAATGTAGAAAAACTGGTAGTAGAAATGGAAAAGGGTACAGCCTTTGTGGAAAACAGTGTGGCAGTTCTCAAAAAATTAAAAATAGAACTACAGTATATACCATACGATCAAGCAATTCCACTTTGGGGTTTCCATTCACAAGAACTGAAGGCAGACACACAAATATTTGCCCATCATGTTCACAGAAGCACTACCCACCTTAGCCAAAAAGTGGAAGCAATACAGGTATCCATGGGCAGATGAATGGGTAAATAAAATGTGATACACACACACACACACACACACACACACATACATTTTTATGATTTACCTGTGTATAAATTAGTATAGTTGTTCCTTAGTAACCCTGGATTTTACATTCACAACCCACCACAGATCAAAAATACTTTGGAAAAAAAATGTCTGTACCGAATAGGTACAGAATTTTTTCCTTGACACTTTTCCCTAAACATATATATAAATGTGACACACACAACCCCCCCCCACACGCACACACACAAGGAGCATTGTTCAGCATCAAAAAGAAAGAAATCTGACATGTGCTACAACATGGGTGATCTTGAAGACAATACGCTAACTAAAATGAGCCACTCATGAAAGGGCAAATACTATATGATTCCACTTAATTGAGATTCCTAGAGCAGTCAAATTCATAGAGACATAAAAGAATGGTGGTTGGCAGAAACTGGGGGACGGTAAATGGAGAATTGGTGTCTAAATGGTTACAAAATTTCAGTTGAGAAACACGAAAAAGTTTGGGAGATGGATGGTAGTGATAATTGCAAACAATATGACTATGTTTACTGCCACAAAACTGCACATTTAAAAATGGTTTAAGAGGGAGCAGGCGAACTCCGAGGAGGTGGGGGTGTATGGTGCAGCAAGCAGCGGCGGCAGCGGCGAAAAGTGGATTCGGCCCTGAGCCACACCAAGGAGAGCTCCCATCGCGACTTGCCGCCCTAAGCACTCTCCCAAATCCGGCACGCTCGGCGAGGACTTCCGCTTCCTGGACGAACCTTGTCAAGCAGGCCGGGATCTATGAGTGGAAAGGTGACCAAGCCCAAAGAGGAGAAAGATGCTTCCAAGGTTCTGGATGACGCGCCCCCCCACCCCCACCCCGGGCACACAGGAATACATTATGTTACAGCAAGATTCCATCCAATCCGTGGAATTAAAGAAAAAAAGGGTCCCCCTTTCGTGCTAAGTGTCACGAAATCTTCTGCTGCCCGCTGAAGCAAGTATACCACAAAGAGAACACAGAGCACGAAGGTGGTTCTCTTGAAGACCTAAGTATAGGGAAAGACTTTATGAACAAAACCCTGATCACATGGGAAATATTAAAGAATCAACTACTGGGATCTTATTAAAAAGATTTTTCACAGGAAAAGAAATCAACAACAGAGTAAAGAGACAACCAACAGAATGGAGAAAAATCTTCACCCACTGTTCCTCAGACAAAAGACTGATTTCTAAAATATATAAAGAACTGATAAAGTCAACCTCCTGCAAATTTAAAGATCCAGTCCAAAGATGGGCATCTGAGATGAATATACACTTCTCAGATGAAGAAGTAGAAACAGTAAATAAATGTGTGAAAAAATGTTCAGCATCACTTCCATCTTTCAAGAGATGCAAATTCAAACAATGCTGAGATTCCATCTCACTCCAAAAAGAATGGCTATTTTCAAGAAATCAACCAATAGCAAATGCTGGTGGGGCTGTGGGGGAAAAGGAACACTTCAACAATATTGGTTGGTGTGCAGACTGGTGCAACCACTGTGGAAATCAGTGTGGAGAGTCCTCAAAAAACTAGGACTAGAGATTCCATTTGACCCAGCTATCTCCCTTCTCGGTATCTTCCTGAAAGAATTAAAAACATGATTCCACAGTGATATATGCACACCCATGTTCATAGCAGTACAGTCTGTAATAACTGAATCTTGGAAACAGCCCAAATTTCCATCAGCTGATGAATGAATAAAGAAGATGTGTTTTTTATACAAGAGAGTACTACTCAGTCATAAAGGATAATATTGAGACATTTATAGCTAAATGGATGCACCTAGAGGCCATACTCTTAAGTGAAATAAATTGGATACACATGTATAAATATTGCATTGCTTCTCTGGTGTGAGAAACTGAAAGTGTAAATAAGGACCAAACTGTATAATAGATATTGTGAAATAGGAACAAAATGTTCAAAGGGAAAAGGGTACAAGGTGGGGTGGGCAAAGAAGGAAGGGAAAAGAAAACGCAAAAAGAAAGAAAAAATGGAAACAAACTCTAGCAAATAAGAAGGGGAAGAGGGGTAGAAAAGGGGAAGGAAATGGAAAAAATAAGAATCAAGATATATCAGGTACACAAACAAATGCCATGAAATGAATGTGATCATTATGTATATCGAAACTATACCAATAAACTTAGATAAAAAGGGTTTAAAAAGTAACTTTAATGTTTTGTATTTTTTACCACACTCATATACAAACTCTTAAAAGTGCAACAGGATTTTCTATTTGAAATTACTGATACGTACATTCACAAGGGGAAAAAAGCTTTCCAATTCAATATAAGAGAATCCCTAAAAACAATAATTTCCTTCCTTTTTCTTCTTTTTTAAGCTGGGAAGTAGTCTGGTTCCAATAAATGCTTTACTGATAAAATTTCTTAGGTTAATTTAAATAATATTAAAAGAATCCTTGATAAGCATGGTGGTGCATGCCTGTAATCCCAGCACTCAGGAGGCTGAGGAAGGAGGATTACCATGAGTTCAAGGTCAGCCTGGGCTACACACTGAGTTCAAGGCTAGACTGAACTACACAGTTAAGACCTCATCTCCAAAAAAAAAATTAAAGTATAATAAAAGAATTCTTGAATCTTTCTAATACAACATGAATTCATGAGTAACTCCTACTTGGGACAGGTGAACATCTAAAGAAGACATGGAAATATATGTTTATAAACCAAAATAAAATTCACCATTAATCTCTGTAAAATTAATCTTTGCCTAAGAAATTAATAAGGTTACCAAAAATGAAAAAGGATAAAATTAATCTGTTCTGAAGGGTTTTTTAGTACTAGGAATTGAACCATGGGCTCATGCATGCTAGGCAAGCACTCCACCACTGGGCTATATCCCCAACCCTGTTTAAAATTTTGAGTCCAGGGTCTCACTATGTTGTCCAGGTTGTCTTCAAACTTACAATCCTCCTGCCTCAGCCTCCCAATAGCCAGAATTACAGGCATGTACCAGCAAGGGTAGCTTATTCTTAATTTTTTATAGAGGTAAAAATGGAAAGTAAGTATACCACTTTATTAGGAGAAGAAGAGAACATAAGCCCTCACACACTGACTGCTACACAGGATTAGTTCCAGAACATACCCCCTTTCCAAAGCATGTAGATAATAATGTCTCTTCATAATATGGCAAAGTATTTCCATATTGCCTACATATATTCTCCCATACACTTTATTATTTTTTTAATTAATTTTATTGGTACATTTTTTGGGTACATTTTAGGTATACAATTCATTTACATTTATCATTGGGTGTTTGTACTTGTACATGATATATCTTGGTTCTTATTTCTTTCCCCATTACCTGTGCATGCTTCACCCCCTCCACCCTCCCCTATTTACATAAGACATCATTTCCATGTTTTCTTTCTCTTCTCATAGTTTTTCCTTTCCCTCTTTTCCTTTCCCCTTCCCCTCCCTTCACTCCTTCGTCTTTGGACCTTTTTTCCTATTTCAAATTATCAATTATTCATTTTAATCATTTTAAACCTTGTTTACCCTATCAGTTTCTCACACTAGTGAAACTATTCGGTATTTTACATGTGTGTCCTATTTATTTCACTTAAAAGATTATGGCCTCGATATGCATCGATTTAGCTATAAATGACTCCAGTTTTTCATTCTTTATGGCTGAG